TATATATATTAAAATTTATGTCGTGGCCTGTTTTTTCAATTTTCGGCAGTCATTATTTAATCTTGCCTAATGATGCTTCAGCACAATTTTTTTATTCCGAATTTCTATCTTGATGAGATATACTTAATGAAATGAAGAAACACGCATAGCATAGCTTCTGAGCTATGTATGGTAACGTGCTTGGAGTAGACACTATAATCAAAGATCTTCCCTTTGGCCCCCCTGTCAGTTGACATATGTTGTAACTGGGCTTTTTTCCTTTAGGCATTCCGCCACCCTCGGCTGTAAGTTGGCCTTATCAGGCAGCAACAGATCTAACGGACTTTGGGCACATTTTGTTGCATTTCATTAAAACGAATTGCTGCCGCCTGTTGCCTGCCAAACTTTCCCACGTTTGACGCCTACCTCTGCTGGCAGATACCACGCAATGCGGCGCCAGGTCGTGTTGCAACACTTCCGCATACGGAATCGTTGTCACCGGAAAGGTAAATCACGATTTTGTGTAGATTTCGCTGACCGCGCAACAAGCGGAAATTTCAGTTCAGTTCAGTTTTTTTCTTTTTGGGGTGAAAATTATAGAAAATATGCGCGCAGCTTTTTATTTCAAGTTTTTCCGCGCACACAATTTCCACCCCGAATGATAAATAATTATAATGCCATTGGGTGGTGGTGGTGGTGGTGTTATAGCCATAGCTGCCAAGTGCCTTGGCTTTCCCTTCGCCTTGGCAGCAACCACCACGAATCGCGGCCGTTTAATTGCATTCGATATGCGCTTTTGGGAAATTTCCCACGATTTTCGTGCTAGATTTTCACGACAAGGTAACGCAACGGTAAGCTTGGCTGCTGGCCCTCCCTCTATACCTTTTCTCCTTATATCCCTATCTCTCTCTTTCTCTCTCTCTCTCTCACTGAGCTCAACATATCTATAGTCATAGAGCTTCTCAAACGCATCATAATCAACATTTCTGCCCGCTGATTGTTTTCGCGACTGACCGCGGCGGCTGGAAAGGGGTTGGGGGTTGATCGTAGCAATGCCCTAAATACCTCTACACACACACACACACACACATGCATAGCTGGCTTGGACAGCGGTTAGGATGCCCTAGCGTAGTCTGAGATTTGTGTGACTCATAACGAGTTTTTCGTATTGTTCTAAATACTTTTTCTTTTCGCCTCGCTTGGACCTTAAGTGGATCGGCATGTAGATCGGGCCACGGCAGCGGAATCGCGCAGGCGCTACTAATGCCTGGCCATTGTTCTTTGGCAGCTCGCGAACGCCTTGGCATCCTTTGTTTAGCGCCAGCTGCCGCATTGTTTTGCCCCTGGACAGCGGCGAGCGCCCATTAATCCAGTTCTTCCTTCTTCTTTTTTTCTCTTTTTATTTTCGTAAGAGGTTGAGGTAGTCGAGGATTCAGTTACGCCAGCTTAAAGCGGCGTCCAATTGAGGCAAGAGATACTTTATGTAAATTTTTTTTTTTTTAAGTATTATAGTTACTTTTTTTGTTAATCCAGTTTAAATCGATGCGCAAATCTCCTTTCGAATATTAAACGGAGGAAAGGGGTGGCGTCTGTAACAGAAAGGCGTTGGTTGAATTTTGATCAAACACTTGAGACAGGAAATTGTTTGCATTTTGGCTGAGACGACAGAGTTTATGAAAATATTATTTTGGAATTTTTGTTTGCTCTTCAGCATTGAATGAATTTTTCGCTATTTATATATTTTTGCTTCTAAAATTATTGTAGTTTTGTTTCTTAACTATTTATTTATTATTAGAATTTTTATAATTTAATTTGTTTTACTTTTTAAATTTATTTTCTATTTTTTTTATTTATTAGTTTTAAATTTTTGCATATATTAACTTTTTTATTTGTTTTTGAATTTTTTTCATTTGTGAACTTTATTTATAATTATTTTTATTTCTTTAATTTTTTACATATTCTTAACATAACATATGAAGCTTTGTGGAATTCCTTTTGTGATTATTTCTGTGATTCGCAATGGCTTTTGTATTTTTTCATAAATATTTATTATCTACACGCGACAGTTTAAAAATAAAATTTATTTAGTAGCAAGGAAGTATTTTGACCATAATATTTACACAGCTTGAATTGTCAAAATTAATATTTATGTATACGCATATGAGTATACTCTATATATAGAAATATTCATTCGTACCGCAGCCAACATGTATACAAATTATTGATTTATTAAAAAGCAATTTCAGTTTTAATTAATTAATGTCAATAATATATTCTTGATACAAGAACTCTATTCTATTCTAATCTATCAAAGTAAAATTGGTTTGATATATTTAGTTTTATATAATGCCTCCTCTTCAATGTCTCTCCCGCACAATAACTATTTATTTTATTATCTATCTCTATCTTTCTGCTGTTCTCTTCCTTTTTAATCTGTCTCTCTCTCGCTCTCTCATTTGAGATTTTGAAATCGGCGTTGACAAAGACATCTCTCTATACCTCCCTCTCCCTCTATATTTTTGCTCTCTCTTTTACTCTTTAGTTCTGTCTCCGTCTTACTTTCTCTATATTCGTCTATCTCTTTCACTTTCCCTCCTTGCCTCTCTCCTACCCCTGTCATTCCCTCTCACACACCTTACATTCTTTTGTAGTTATATAATCTGTTCTGATTGACACCTTTTTTTTTAGAATTCGCCAACAGAGCACGCAATGGAATTGTTATATTATCAATATAAATTATTGTTTCACTTGAGTCACCTGTTTACTACCGTATAAACAAAGGCCAGACAATCCCCAGCTATAACAATTAAAGTGCTTTATCTGACTTTTATTTATATCACTTGCATTTACATTGTGCTCTGAGACGTATAGCACGCGCCGCCCATTCAATTGATTTGAGTCGAATATAGCAAATACACATATGGTTCCTATATAGCTATATAAACATACATTTATCAAAAGACAATGAAAGTGTCAGCAACTGCAATTGCTGCAGCTCCTTTAGTTTTAGTTCATAGATCAAACAGCTGAAATTTTATTTTTAATGATGTGTCCTAATATTTGCTTCACATTTCTGCATATCTTCGTCTCTGATTGGGTTAAATTAACATAGTATTATTATGTCTTGACTAAATTTCCATGTGTACATATCAAATGGATTCACGTAATTCCCTGCTGGTTATCGTGGCCTACAAATACAATCTTCTTGCTGTCCAAACGCAACTCATCCATGGGCCAGGCTGAAGAGTTGCCTTACAATATGTTTGCCTAGACTTGAGCTGCAATTAAATATCAATTACAGTATGAATACACATACATCTATATATACATATACACATATATATACATATACATATACATATATATATTCAGTTTTTTAATCACTTTTGGAATAGATCTAAATGGCTTTTGTTGACTCGCATGCCTGCGAGCGTGTCGTACTCGCGGAAATGGCCAGGATGCGTTCGTGGAGTATCATTTGGCCAAAGAAGAGCAAAACACTGAGATAGATATATTCGTGTTTGGGCACATCGGATTGCCGATCGTGTATTATGGTGGCCGTATACATGATCATTGTGATCGCTGTGAAGGCAAAATAGTTACGCACTATAGTAAATATAGTATCGTTCTTGATGATGAACGCATTGAGGAAGAACAGTATCATCATTATATTGGCAACTGCGACGCCCAGGCTGAGCATCAGATCACCTGGCACCATACGCATTGGAAAGTACGCACCATAGAAGATGGATGTGATGACCACCAAGAACACAATTGTGACAGCATATATATTGACCATATATCCCCTGGAATTCTGCTGCTCGACCGCAATGTAGAGCGTAGACGATTCAACAATGATTATAACGAGCATCACGTTCCAGGGACAGCGACGACCGCACGGCGTACAGGACAGCAAACAGATGCCAAAGAATGTGGCCATCAGCCAGAAGCCATAGCGCTCCTGGGGCATTTTGTATTTGCGCCAATCCGAAAAGTATCCAATGAGTATCCATTGGATCAGGGCTGCGAGGGCGAACATTGCGCTCAGCAAATAGATGCGCACCTCGTGACTTAAATTTAGATTCGGCGGACCTCCATATACATCGGCTTCACGGCGATCCATTCGTTAATTTGCAACTTTCTCGATTTTGACAGTAGGAAAGGCCACTGGAAAAGCAGATACTAACCAGAACATGCACAACTTCATCAATGTTACTTAAAAAATAAAACCAAACAAAACAAACAAAAATTAAAACAAAATAAAACAATAACAAATGATTTTCCAATTTTGACATTCAAGCAGCATGAATGAAATGATATTGATGAACTGAAATTTGTTGTCATTTTCACACTTAAGTTCAGTTCAATTAAAAGGGAGAATATACTGTACATACATAGATATATTGTGAATATACGATTTAAAATTAACCCGTGTACGACCAGTTAGGCCATACGCCCGTTTCCACGTAGACATAAAACAAATAGAAGGCCCCAAAAGACAGGACACAGACGGTAAATTCCATGCAGATCAAGAGGGCTGAATAGCTCGTTCTGAAAAATGTTATTTCTCTGAGGCGTCCGTGTATGAGTTGCACATTGTAGGGCGTTAGTATGATCTGACTCGACAGTAGCAGGACAAAGAACACTAAGCAAAGGATCGGTGGGCTATAGAATAACAGCACAAAGAATAAGATCTGTGAGGCGAACAGAAATATGCTAGCCAGGCAGCTCATCAGTCGCTCGCATAGCCCCTGGGTGGGCGGGCAGTGTATGCCCATGAGGTGCAGCAATGCTATCAAAACGAGCGCACCGCCCTGGAAGATCAGCAACAGTTTCCAACTCAATAGATCCATCCCATAGGCGCCGCCTAGTGTTAGTAGGAACACATACAGGAAGTCGAGTATCCAGTTAAGCGGAAAGATGTGCTGCATCTTCGGATAGCACATCATCATATCAAACTGGAAAACCGCAATTATGAACCACACATAGAACGGCACTGGCACCTTGGCGCGCAAATTGATTTTCAAGATCGATATGATCAGCCAGGTGGAGCCGCAGATCAGTATGTAAAAGCATGCCGACAAATATACATCGCGTATGAATCTTCGATAGAGCTCATCAGGTATAACGACCACAATTTTAGTTTGATCACCCCGCAAATAAGCCGGTATTTCGCCACGTACGAATACTATCTCGGGCTTTCGTTGGTCGTCTTCCTGAGACTCGGTTAAATAGCACATACTCATACAGTCATGTAGTGTTGTTCGCGTATCCTCCTCATCCCTTTGGCGCTGCAGCTGCTTCAGCTCGCGCATCTTCTCCTTCCGTTGCTCCGGCGTCATCGATTGCCGATTAACTGTCGGCATTTTGTCATCAGTTAAACATATAAATTTACAACACGTCGTTCCTAAAGTTAATGACAATTAATTGACAGTGAAATCAAGGTTTCGTAATCATATTTATGTCTAAGAATTCACATCAACTAAATCTAAATCTAAAACAGTTTTGCAAATTTTTACAATATTTCTGTGCTCAATACAATTTGTTTTCGATACGAATTTCATTTCAAATTTATTTATTGAACTTTACTTTTTGACAATAAAACATATAAAACTAATATAAAATTAATAAACCTATTTAATTTAATATTTATATAACTAGAAATATTTGTATCCAGT